TATATATGTAAAAATCGATTTTTATTTATTTCGTGAATAAATATCAATGTATCACTTATACTTATAACATACGTCTTACTACTGCGGATGACCATATTTCACTACTTTGACCATTTATATCTTGGGAAATATTGACTTTTGGGACTTGGTGCAATGATAACTTTTTATCAGCATGGCGAAAACTATAACGTAGTGAAATTTCAGCCAATTTGACCGAAAACCATTTTCCATAGGTTTTACAGGTTTAACTAACAAATGTAAGTTATATATAATAATTAACAATTGTAAATTTTACGTAGTAAAAAACGCTCCCGAAGTTTTGCCATTTAATTTGGAAACACCCTGTATAATACAGATATCTAAAAGTTGTTGAAAACAGATGTTGAAAATGTCTGCTATAAATTTTGTGAATAGAATGCCAACAAAAATAATGTATTAATTATGAATTACTTTTAAAATAAAAATTCACATTTTATCTAGAAAAATATCAAACAAATAATAATGCATTTTATGATTATAATTAATAATAAAGAATACTTTGCTGACTAAAATGTTAAAAGACTAGTTTTAGAATTAAATTCTGCGCTAAATATATATTTTTATAAATTCAGAATATTTAACTTACCCGTCAACACAATGTGCTGCGGTTAATATGTTATTTTTATCAATAATAGATCCACCGCATCTGTGGCTGCCATAATACTTCAATGATATTTGATACAGAAATTTGCCGATTGGAGCATCCTTACCGCCGACAATATGAGGAGCTCCTTATAGACAAAAATTAATTAATCATATTAATATACTCATGTTAATGGTGTTAATATAAATAGTTAATTATGTTAATACACGCAAACAATATGTTACATTACTATATGTATATACTATACATTTTTTAACAATAAACGTCGTGTCAACTTTATGGCTCATGAGCTGTTCAGGAAAGTTATATGTAGACTTACTAAAAATATAATTTTCTTTATTTATCTAATTGTTTCATTAATCGTGACACATTAATTTTTAACGTTAAAATACATTTTGAAAATGCAGGGGAATGCATGTATTCTCCTAAATTAGTTTACATAATTAAATTGGCAAAAATGAAATTATTAATATTAAAAATTTATGATAAATAGAGTACAGCAATATTTGCAATAGCTATGAATACTATATAACGGATACTTAAATTATAATTAAGAACTTCACATACAGGGTGGGCCAAAAGTCTGGAACACCCAAATATCTCATAAACGATACATTTTAGAAAAAAATGTTTCAAACAAAAAGTTGTCAAGCTTAAAAAGACGCACTTAACGATAGTAGTTATTTGACCTAGAATGGCGTTGTCAAGGTCACGTCAACTTAATTTTTTTAAATGGAACCGCCTACTTTTTGTTTCAGATTCTTGTAGGTTATGTTGTGATGATTTCAAAACATATATCATAAACTCTTTTCCGATGAGAACTTCCTGAGTTATGAGTCTTTAAAGTTTAAATACCGCCGGCATCAGGAGACGCGGTAGTGTCACCGACCATATTCAATTATCCTAATTACTTTAGGATTAATGAAAATGAAAAGAAAGACACTATAAGTCTCTTATCCTGAGCTACCAAAGTCCATTTTTGGGGGGTACAGAATTACTAAAATATAAAAAATTTTGAATCGTACGTAACACATTCTGAAAGGCGACCACGAGTAATTTGTGCCAAAAAAAATAAAAGTCGGTGGAGCCGTTCTGGACATACGAGCGGTGATGATTTTCGTGAAAAATTAAGTAACGTCTTCTTCTTCTTCTTCTCTGTCCGCAGTCACATGCATCTCTCTTGTCTCTCACCTTTCACTCACACCTCCCCCAACTTCGACTCACTCCACCCCTTCCCACCACCGCTTCTCCACCCCCAATTCCCACCCGCACCAACCCTCTATTTTCTGCCCTATCTCACTCTCTTTCGTCCTTTCTCACCCCCTTTCGTCCTCTCTCACCCTCGCTTGCTAAAAGTGTCCGATGGTCACTCAGGGTTGTGACCTTGACATTGTGAGCCAAGGTCGTATCAACTTTTTTCGAAAACTTCGTCACGCGTGATGGGTGACTGCTGTAACCTTCCGAAGGTTGTTCAGTGTGATGACCTTCGTAATGTGTGGGAGGGTCGAGGTCATCGGAGGTGAACTGTGCATTTTAATTTTAATAACTTCTTAATGGGCAGCGGTCGCCTGCTGAAAGAGTCCGATGGTCACTCAGGATCGTGACCTTAACAATATGAGTCAGGGTCATTTTAATTTTTTGGGATAGCTTCGTAACGCGTGATGGGTGACTGCTGCAACCTTCCGAAGGTTGTTCGGTGTGACGACCTTCGTAATGTGTGGGAGGGTCAAAGGTCATCGGAGGTGAACTGTGCATTTTAATTTTAATAACTTCTTAATAAGCAACGAGCGACTGACGAAACCCTTCGATGGTCACTAAGGGTCATTACCTTCACAATCTATGTTACGGTCAGCGTCATCGGAGTTGAATTTTCTATTTCATTTTTAATAACTTTTTAACTTGAGATGGGTGACTGCTACACTTTCCGAAGGTTGCAGGAAATGTAGTGGGAAAACAAGTACGTCTGCCGCAGGTCTATGTTAAGTAATAATTCTAGATTGAAAAAAGGAATAAAATTAAGTAAAAGTTACCGAAATGTTTAAAACACTGATTGAAAAGGCTACCTAAAGTTTGAATTTTTATAGTTAAGAATCTTTCCATGGTTCTTATTTTATGAATCGTTTGACTGAATAACTAATTGAAAAGGAACATTTTACGCAAATATATTTGTATAAAAAATGCAGGGATGGGAAGTAAAGTAACGCCGTAAATTTTATCATTTATAAAAACGACTTGATGACGACTTCATTGCAACGATAACTGACTATACTAATTTTGTGCTAAGCTTGGAAAAGTCACTTTGAGAGGTAACTCTTAACTATTACGTGTTTATTTAATGAAGAAATAATTTGTTTAGTCCCCCAAAAAAATTTGAGTAGTGTCTCAAAAATAAAAGAATCTACTTAATTTTAATGATATGTATCAGGTAAATCAAAGATTTGATATCAATAATGGGCGCTAAATTATAATCTTTAAAAATTACCCATAATTATTATTTATTATTATTATTATTTCTTCCCCGTCCGCCTTTGCTGCCTCTTCGCGGTCCCCAATGGTAATGGACCGCGGACAGCCGTATTAGAAACCGTTTGTCAATGATTATAATCCAGTTATCAAATTAGCCTGGGAGGGGAATATGGGCATACAATTTACTGGAGAAAAATCAGAGTTTTTAAACTCATAAATTAACAAAATACACGACAAAATCGGAGAAATGCAATATAGACTTTGCAATGATAGATTTCAATAAGCCCTTGGCATCGAAACTGGAATTTTGCGATGCGTTCATTGAATAACAGAGAATGCGATGCTTTAGAAGCTGCGGACACACTACTAGGGAATCCCTTTTATGGTACGGACAGTGATATCATTGTTAAATGGATTGACATTAATGAGATGAGAAACAGGAAAGTTAAAACATTCAATGAAATTAAAGCTCTCGATGAAAATTCTACGAATATTTATTGTCCGTCGCTCATCGATGATTACTATCCAAGCAGACCTAAGGAATTAGAATCATTTAATTTGTACGATTTTGCCAGATTCTGGGAAATTACGAAACAGGTACCAAAAAATGACGAAGTTGAATGTTACAAACTTGTATCGAGTTTATGTTTAAAAAAAACGAAAAAAGTGTTACTTAACCATTATCGATTTAATGTAAAAATAGAACCTGAAAAATACTTTTACTTGCTGCTTCTTCTGTTTAAACCGTGGAGAGATTTGAATGAACTGAAAGATGCATACGAGACTTACAAAGATGCTTTTAAGAATTCAACGTCTGCTTTGACGAAGGCAATGAAATATCACGAAAGGCTCGAAGAAATACAGAAAGCTTTTGAGAACGTTGCTGAATTAATCGAGAAGCGCGAAAATGATCTGAAACAGTAGTTAGAACCAAATCTTACGACGATGGACAGAATTGCAATCCGATAGAAGCCGACGACGCGATGAAAGATCTGGAAAATTTTGGTAAGATTGACGCACCGATTGATTTATCGCAAATAATGTCGCGATTGAGCGAAGACCAGAAAAAAATCTTCGATAGAGTATGCCAAGTTTTACAAAATAAAAATCAGATTCTGCGACTGTACGTAAGTGGCGAGGGTGGTACAGGAAAAAGTTTTCTTATTGAAACGATTAAACATTGGATCAGAATACATTTGAAAAAAGCAACTGCCATATCTGCTCCCACAGGTATCACGGTATTCAATGGCTTGACGATCCATAGAATTTTTCACTTATGTTTATCAATCTACGATTATGTGAAATCTTTGATACGATAGATACAGATGATGGTTTCTTTGGCAGAAAACACATTCTTCTGTTTGGAGATTTGTTGCAGCTTCCCCCTGTTATTAGTTATATGTTAAAAAATATTTTACACCAGACGTAGTTTGCACCAGATATAGTACACTTTGGTTTACTGAAAAATATGTATATATTATATTGTCGGAACATGATTTTTTTCTAAAGTGAAATGTAATTTGTTAAAAAAATATATTGATTGTATCGATATATTACTATTGTTACGTCCCGTAGACGCCACGATTCTTTTTTTTTCGAAAGACGGCTCCACGCCGCGATTGACGCATTTATGAGATTCGAGTGTAATCTCCTGTTAACAATCTGAAAGAATTAGAAGGCCTAAAAAGCTTCCACGAAAACTCATAAATGCCACTCAAGAATGAACAACAACGCTGATACGAGGCTGGAAACGCTAGGCTTGCGAAATCCATATGTCTGCGTCATACCCTAGTTGCCACCCGAGGTAGTAACAATTCCATATTAGGAAAAAACGCAGGGCTAGAAGCGATACGATTACAAAATATGCCCATATAAGGAAATAACAAACATCCAAGCCACCACCCGAGAGTGACGAACAATTCCATATCAAGTAAAGATAAAGCCGGCGCCACGTCGCGCCAAGACATAAAACGATCCAAAGCAACCCCCATATTAACGTTATCTGAGACCAGACTTAAGATTCCTTACACGCGAACATCCTAAGAAAACTGATTAAACATCACGAGTAATAGTTTACCCAGCTATATTTTTCGGGGCATAATAAAATTTGACATCCACTCGGAGCAATTTTTCCGCAGACTAGAGAAAATCATAAATTACTTCCCCTTCAAAGCACTCTAGATTAACCACGATAGGACCTAAGAAAAAACGTAAATCACCGCTTGACATTGCAACTTAACAATTGTCTTAGACAAAGGAAAAGACGCCCTTTTTTGAGGTATAAATAGGGGCCCGCGAGAGAACGCGTCGTCAATCCTCAATAGTAGTCGGGCAGTAAGTTAGTCGTGTCCGTGTCGGTCAATCCTCAATGGTACTCGGGCAGTCACTCAGTTCGTGTCGATATCGGTCAATCTTCAATAGTAGTCGGCTAGTTACTTAGTCCGTTCAGCAACGAGAATCAATCAGTGTCGGTCTCTCGGTGCTAGTTAAAATCAAATAGACCGACCGTGCCGTCTGCGCTACTGGGGGCCTCTACCCTCTGCCCTTTGGTCGGCTGCATAGGAGACAGCTCACCAACACCTCAAATCGTTCACCGTTCATCTATCAGTAAGTTTTTAATTTTTCTAGCCTTCCGTTTCCCGTTTTTCTTTCTTGGGTCCA